CAAAGTTAATAGCCAAAGGGCTGAGCTCAGATTAAAGGATACTGATAGTAAGAACAAAGAATACATATTAAATAAATTGCATACAGAACCTGCTGGACATGTTCATAAATCAACGAGGCTGAGTAAAGGAACATATTCCTATTTAAAATACAAAGTTACTAGCCAAAGGACTGAACTCGGATTAAAGGATGCTGATAGTAAGAACTAAGAATACATATTAAATAAATTACATACAGAACCTGTCGAACAATAAAACAAGACGGCTTCCTTCTGTGGATATAGCCTGGACATTTCTTGATTGTCACATTGTGGCAGGTAAAAATCAAATCTACAGAATGTCACTAATACAAACAATGAACTTACAACATGAATATCATGGTATGCACAATAATGTACTATCAGCATGAGCTACAGATATGTTCCATGTATCATGTGTCACACAGCAAGAAATGCCAGTACCTCCAACAGTATGTATCCATGCTGGAGCCAAGTGGAATATGAATGGCATGGAGCACCAAATCAACACTGACTCGGGTAGTACAATTTGTTATACTGCCTGGTATACCGGTGTCCAAACCAACACTGACTCATGATTTAAAAACTTGAACCAATTATTGCATGATGAATCTCTAAATTTAACACTAAACATGATGCTGATTCAGTGATTATTTTGTGTGAGTTCATTTAGCTTTTCATAATTCTGACATCTTCATTGACTAATTTTCCAAGACCAAAATTTGTATAAAGGTCAAATAACCAGCAAAATGATTGGATGTGGCAATTCTCCTTGGTTATCTAGATAACATAAGTATGTTATCAGTATCTTTTAACATAGAGCTAAACTCAGTGCCTAATGTGGTTGAAATGTAGGTACAATCTTTATACCTTTTTTCATAAGAACATTCTCATGTATTTAGCTTTCTGGGTTGGCAGTGGCAGATGCTCTAAAGCTGAAGATAAAGAATTTCAACTGTTTATACTCGTTCAAATAAGCTATCAGAAGATTGACCTCGACCAAGTGTCGGAAGTTGCATATGCAATGGATGGTTCCCATCAGGATTATAGATATCTACTGGCAATTTTAAATTAAATTCAAGATCAAAATTTAATTTTCTCTGGGATCATTTTTGTTAGGGAGATAATCTGGCTATCTGTTTAAAACTTTGAAGTTATGGACTACGTCACTGTTATGCATTTACATATCTTGGCCCACAAAACCTCTCTGTCTCCTTCATCTTCCTTTTACCTACTGCCTCCTTAAATCACTTCCTTCCTTCTTCCTCTACAGGAGAGTCTTCCTATGATGCTGACGTGGTTACACAAAAACTATAGAAGAAACAATGAAGAAAAGAACAGGGAATTCAATCCAAGTCCCTGTAGGTCAATCCAAGATGGCTGCCAGAAAACAAAATTTCAAATTTCCATGCATTCAAACCTCACAATCCAAAAATAAGATTTCATAGACAACGTTTCCAAATAACAACCAAAACTATTTACCAAAATAGTCTACCAAAATTCAATCAGTATTACCAAAATTAAGATAATAATCCACTATAGAATACGTCACAACCAATCAAAAAACAAAAAGGAAAAAAATTTAGATTAAAAGAAAGCAAACCTTGAACACTTCAGCTGTATTATGCAATAACAGAGACCAAACTGCAGAACCAGAACCAAAAACAAAAATATGTTCACCAAACAAACCTCAATTTTGTTCGACAAAAATGGGTAAAACCAAAATAAAATAAAAACATTGAAAACGAAAAAGAACAAAAAAAAAATATGTTTACCATATAAAGATCAATTTGACTCCAATTAATTCGGTACTACCAAAACTAAATAAAATAAAAAACATCGAAGACTAAAAAAAAAAAAAAAACGCACTTTTAGTTAAAAGAATAGCAAACGTTGGGCTCGCATGCTCTTGAAAGTACAAAACTAGAACAACCAACAAATTACACACCTCTCAGGTATTGAAGGACGGTGAGGTGCGCCAAACCATCGGGCAACACCCTGCGAACGCCGTTCACGTAGACGACGACCTCCCTTGACCACTCTTCCTCCGCCACCACGTCCTGCGCCTTGGTAAGCGAACCCATGCTCCAATTCAAGATCCCGGTCGCCCTCCAAAAGCCCGATCCTTGGACGCCAACACCGATCTCCAAACAAGAACACGAAGCCTCCTATGCGGCCTCCACAGCCCTCGCGGGAGTCGCCGCACCAAATCGATCGATTTCGGATGGACTCCAAGTAACTTATCCCACGATGTACCGGATAGACGCGAACGGTCAGTTGGATCCATAAGTTGGGTCTGCACACTTCGAGGAAGTGCGCCTCGCGTGCCTATGCTCAGACACCAATGCCGCATTTCCATTAGACTTTATCTTGATATATTGAATCTAAGACGAATTTTCGAAAAAAAATTTCTAATTTTAGTTTTTCTTTTTTCTTAGAACGTTTTAACTTTAAAAATTATCCAAACAATGCTCTTATTTTTTAAATAAATAATATTTACATTGAAAAACTATTTGAATTCACGTAGGATTAAATTAGATAAAAAATCGATTTAACTTAAATCAATTTTTTTATCATGTATTTACCGACTGATATAACTTGTGTTATATAATCTTTCATCTTTCGTCACTCCCTGTTATATTATTATTATTACCACGATATACTTCACAACCTCCTAGCATCATTGGCCTCGTGCGTCATTGTATTTAGGGTTGAGTTCTACCACATTTATAAGTATTGAGTTTCATTGCTAGCAACACTAAGTCGTTTGAGCTTCAATTCTATCGCTGTTGCAAGGAGAATTCTAGGGTACGAGCATTTTCTGTTTTTAAGGTTCTAAAAATATAACATCAACTAACATTATTTGCGATGGAGCTTCAATAAATTTTATAAGGTATATATCCATTTTTATAAAAATAGTTGCTGGGAAATCCAAATTTTTAGTTTATCATTTAGCTAGGGTTCTAGGGTTGCATTGATGTTTACTATTCTAAACAGTGTTCTAAAAACTTTTTTTTTCTACTACCAATATATATTTTGAGCATTGTTTAAGAAAATAAAATATTTGTTTAGAACAATGTGCTATTTTTGCTTTATTTCTTTTATTTTTTGATAAATTATAATCATATATATAATTGTGTTTCACATTTAAGCTTCTAATGGGGTCCACAATATATGTAAAAAATTTTGTCTAAAGAATAAAATTTCTAATAGGTGATGCACTATTATCGAGGAAAAATAAAAAATAATGCATCACATAGATGTACTATTCAAAATGATCTTAAATTTTTAGAAAAAACTTTGAATACCACACTTATGAATATATGTCACTGGTTTTTTATTTTAAAGATTTTGTATATTTATATCGATTTTTGAGCATTTATTTCTTTTTTTATTTTTTATTTTAAAAATTATAATGTATCCATGCATTTTTTTTTATTTTAGCTTTAAATAGATCAACAATATATATAAAAGGTGGATAATTCACTTCTTAGTTTCCATAGTTGTATGTATCTAGTCGAAATTATATATATGGCCTTGTAAATCCTATGCCATTTAGAATCCAAAAATAGTGAATCACATTGAAGAACTAGTTCAAATGATCCAAAAGTTTTAGAATAGATTTGAATTATACTCACATGGACATATATCACTAGCTTTTTATTTTAGAAAATTTTTGATATTTTTATGAATTATTCAGCTTGTGAAACTTTGTGTTATTTTTTTATTTTTATCCAACATTTTCATATTTCTACAGAAATATCATGATTCCATGCAATATTTTTTTTTATATTTAAGCTCCTAAATTTGTTCAAAATACTTGATAAAAACTTGGACTAGGGAAAATATTTTCTAATATGTGATACACTATTTTTGCCCAAAATCCAAAAATAATGCATCACATTTAATGATCATTTCAAATGATTTAAAATTTTTAGGAAATGTCTGAATTGGATTTAGACACATATAATTGGTTTTCTATTTTATAATTTTTTTGATATTTTTATGAATTATAACTTTGTGTCATTGTTTATTTTTGGCTAACTTTTTTTTTTCATAGAAATATCATGGATCCATGCAATATTTTTTGAAATTTGATCTTATAAATTAGTACAAAACACTTAATAAGAATTTAGGCCAAAGAAAATATTTCCTAATATGTGAAATATTATTTTTTGCTTAAAATTCAAAAACAATGCTTCGCATTGAAGAACTAGTCCAAATGACCTAAAAATTTTAGGAAAAACTTGAATTGGACTTAGATGAACATATGTCACTAATATTTCATTTTAAATTTTTTTAAATATTTTTATGAATTATTCAGCTTATGAACTAAGTGTCATTTTTTTTTTGGTCAACTTTTTCTCATTTCTACATAAATATCATGGATCCATGTAATATTTTTTATATTTGAACCTCTAAATTGATCCAAAATGCTTGGTAAAAATTTGTATCAAAGAAAATATTTCCTAATATACGATGTCTTGTTTTTGTCCAAAATTTAAAAATACTGCATCGTAGAAAATAACTAGTCTAAATGACCTTAAAATTTTAGAAAAGGTTTGAATTGGACTCAATGGATATTTGCCATTGGTTTTCTGTATTAGAGATTTGTTTTATATTTTTATGAGTTATTCAACTTATGAATTATGTGCTATTTTTTTCTAGCCAACATTTTTTCTATTTCCATAAAAATATTATGGATTTATACTATTTTTTTTTGGCATTTGAGTTTCTAAATTAGTCTAAAATACCTAGTAAAAATTTGGATCAGAAAAAATATTTTCTAATATGTGATGCACTGTTTATGTCCAAAATATAAAAGAAACAATGCATCACACATAAGGATTGGTCTAATAAAAAAATCAACGAGTATAAGTTTCACATTATCATACATATCCTAATTTAAAATAACTCGCTGAATAATAGTATCCAATATATCATAAATATTAGAGTGAGTTTGTCACCTTTAACGTCTTCTTGTATTTTTTTTAAAATTAATTTATTTTTAAAGATATTATCATCATTATCTTTAATTTTAAAACTTAAGTTATTTGACAAATGATTTTCACCTAATGTCTGTCTATCGATATCAGCAAGAATTGAAAATATTTCGGGAATTGAAACATTTGTTCTTTTAAAAGATATCAATATATTTATATGATGTTTTTTTGTATTATTCGTTCAAAAAGAAAGGAAAAGATAAAAAATAGAAGAAAAGAGTGGACACAGAGGAAGATAGACAAACAAAAAAAAAAAATTTTTGTTACTTCTTCATCGAGATCAACACCCATACTATGACAATAACTTTTGTTACATTGCAGGTCCTCTTAACAGAATTAAAATATTAAATCGACAGTCGATTAGTAAAATCTTACGGAATCGACGATCCAAAAGTCATTGGTTTGGGTAAAAAAATAATGATTTAACTGTGAAAAATAATTGAGATTCGTGATACGATCGATGAAGCGCTTCCGTGTTTTAACTCGTGGCGGATCCCGTGTCGGCTACTCGCGACCTTTCAAATGACATTGGCTGAAGCGTGGGGGCCACAGTTTTACGTTCTCGCGGGTCGCAATCTCCCCGGTGTGAACAACGTCTTCACCGTTTCCATCGCGAGCGGTGAGCCACGTGGATTTCGACCAATGGAAGGGCTTCCGACCCTGATTGGGTTGTTCGGCAGACGAGCCCGTTGTCTTCTTGTGGGGTGGCCTTGTCATCGGACTGGAGAAGCGATCGACCGCCGACCACAAGATGGTCAAAAACAGGAATATTATTGAAGAAGATACGGCTGACGCTGATTGCCACCCCACTGTTGACCAACATCTTGGGGTAAGATGTCAGTCGAGACGTCGGCCCACCCAACGCTTGCAGGATAAACACGGCGCCATTCTGATGAAGACTCTGTGTTCTTCGAGGATTCCGTGGAGAACGCTTCTTTTAGTGAGTAGGTCCAACACATGCTGTGTCAGTCCGTCCTTAGTTGGCAGCAAGAATTATTAGGTAGATGGAGCAGGTAGCTCCATCTTTCTTATTCGTGATAATATAAATATATATAATGGTAAACAATGTATTATTATGTTTCATAATCAATCATCAAAGAAGTCATGTCCTCAATCATAAAGCTACAAAATTCTGACAACAAGGTCGAAGCATATACCAAGTTCTAAATGTCTACTGATAAGATATTTAATATGTTACGGGCAGGGATCTTTAACAGCATTAAGTTACCCTACTCTTCTCCTATATGAGAAAATATATCTAAATAAATAAAATGGTACTCGAATAATTATTAGGTCTTCTTCTATTATTCCTTACATTATCAATAGTAATCGACTCACATTATTTCTCCATATTTGTTTTTAATTATGATAACTTCTACTCTTATCCCATCTAAGAAGTTTTTGTTTTTTCACCAAACTAAAGTAAAATTTGGCTCCTATGTTAAACTTATTGGAGCGATAGAAGACTTCAGAAAAAAAAAAAAAATTCCACAAATCAACATAAAAAAAGAAATCGAAGAGTCGATGCACTCTTTACTTGCATCTTGGTATAAAACTAAAATTTTTATTTTATAAAAAATAAATATAATAAATACCTCTCTCGAGTCAATCCAAATTTAAGTCTTGAATCACTTATATATCCTCTCACATACATTCTAAAGATTTTTACTCTTAATCCTTTTTAAATCCACTGGAAAAGATTTAGAACCTCTCAAAATATTTTTCTCCACTCTCTCGCTAAAACATTGAAGTCCAACATTGTAATGACTCATCTTCCTATTTAAATTCTTAATTACAATCCTAATCTTTCTTATAGCTTGAATCTAACTAGATTTCTTCGAAGCAGTTTGAATCTAATTAGGATTTTAAAATACTTACAAGCACCTTCTTTAGGTTTTAAAACATTTCCCTTTTTCTCACACTTTTTCTTCTCCAATGATTTTTAAATCGGTTGGTAGGTTTAAATTAGTCTCAAATGATTTTCACCTTTTCTTGATCTATCCTAAGTCCTTCGACAAATACTATAAATCCAAGAAAAATAATATTATCAATAAAAATTAAATATTTCTTGAGATTCAAGTAAAGTTTTTTCCTTTCGAAGACTTCTAAAATATCAAACTTCCCAAGATATGGTATAAAGACATAGGTCATTACTCTCATCAACGTGGATGACACATTGGCAAGGTCGAATGATACAATTAGCCACTCTTAGTCTTGAAGGTAGTTTTTCACTTGTCACTTAATCGAATTCTAATTTGGT